TAGACATGAGAGAAATCACTGCTAGAATTATTACATTATTGTTATTATTCTCAAAATATTGATTTTCCGCTCGATTACTGTGCAGGGGAGTGAATTCAATGGACAAATGGAAATTCTGTCCATTAACATAGTGTAGCTGCCAGTGCTAACAAGAAGAGAAATTGACTTTTGACACAAAAAAGGCTTGTTAATAAAACGTCAACACAAAAATGTCTAGTGTTATTTCCAGTTGCTGGTAAACATGTAGACCCTGTTTTTGTAGAGGGTTCTATAGATATTACTTAAATCTTCTTCTTTAGGTGGGAAGTGTTAGCAGTACATACAAAATACCTGTTTGTTTAGGAAGTTTTTAATGTTTAACTTTTGTTAATCATAAAAATATGAGGCTTTTTTTCTTGATATTATTATTATGACGACTGTAAGAAATTATTTTACTTTCACAACGGGATGTTTTACAAGTAGATCATTTGGCATTCATGCCTTCAGCCCAGGCCCTCGTTCTGGTCATGAATCATAATTTTGAAGCCAAATTCTTACTTCTTAGCTGGTAATGAGCTGAGTGGGTCGACATGAGCAACTACAGGCTTGATGTGTTACCATGGCAACTATCAACATCAGTCTGATGTGTGTTTGTGTGACACAGGGACAGAGAGAGAAATGGGGGGTAAGATAATAATAAAAATATACACTAATAAAGACAACAGCTCTCCTGTGACCTGACAATAACTCAACTCATTGATCTGAATTAACCCTGGATTCAACTGTACATTGTGAAAATAATAATAATAATAATAATAATAATAATAATAATAATAATAATAATAGGAAGAAGGCTGCTGAAGCTAACCTGTGCCTTGGTTTGCTTTAAAAAACAGTTTCGCTGCTTTTTCCTCCTGATGTTTGTTTTTCTTTGGCTCATGACGCAGAGCGAACACTTTACCAATCTCTCGGCCTTGTTTGGCAGAACGACAGTTTATAGGCAGTGCACACCGATTTCTAAAAACAGAACCAGCACAATGAGACCTGCCCACATGGAAAGCAAACGTGCATTCACATTTTGAGTGAACACTGTTCTGATTTTGTAGAAAGCATGATTGTTCCCTGCTGTCTATTATGCTTATGTTCGCTAACACAAATGCACAACAGAGCTGGGCACACATCACTGCAGTCTGGTAAATGTCATTATAGTCATGTTTGCAGTGGGTAAGTGTTCCATAATTTCTTGTTTTGAAAGGTTGAGAATAAATTCAGACCCACTCACACTAAAAACCCTGAAAGTGCTTCTCTCTCCGGCTGCCTTCTCTTTGCCCATGTCTATATTTAAAAGCACTTTTCTTTAATTTTTTTTCTTGCTGCTTTTGTCTGGAATTAGCACGTCGATCAAGCACAGAGCATCGCACCGGTTTCTACTACTTTTACCCTCCAGGCTAGGCTAAGTCCAACTCAGTTCTGTGGTAAATCCCAACACATCTAAGACAGAGATGTAGATGTTTTAAAAATGACTTGTTAAACGAGATTTTTCAATAAAAGCATTGCAGCAAATATCCGTATCTTAGCAGCGCTCCTCAGTCGACATGATTCAGCTCTGGATGTGTAAGTGTCAGTGGAGGGAATGAGGAATGAAGTTGGTAATTATCTGTGCACAGCCTCTGCTGCTCTTCCAACACTGCTTGGGGACTACCTGTTCAGTTAGTGCCATTAGCAGCACAATGGTTCATCTGAGAAACATCTTCATTCTTCATCTTCCCATGCATATCATCTCTTATTCATCAGCTCTTCACCGTTGTGGTGTGATAACCTTCAAGACTGTGGGCTAACGCAGGACGGATCCACAATAAGACGGGACAAAAAGGTTCTGCGGAGAATAAAAAAAATGTGATTGACGTGAAATGATGCCGCCGAGCACCTGCTCCTATTAGGAGGTCCTTATTGACTCTCCTTAATGATGCATTATTTGATTTTGCACACTGAGTTTCTGCTCTGACTGCGGCACCAGCCTACAACACAATTACATAACGCCTTCTCCTACTTCTCCTGCAGCTGTGGGGAACGATGAAGACAAAAGGGATGTGTGGGCACAAGTTATTACTCTTAAGACTGAGGGGGATCTATAGGATTAGCAGACCACCCCTCAGAGCTGGGGGAGCACGATGGCAGCCTGTGGATGATATTACTTACAGTTTCCTGAACATCTAAACTATGGACACAATAAACCCTGTTGTGGTAGTACTTGGGTGCAGATCATTAAGTGTGTTTAGCTTTGTAAATGTTGTCATTTGTCCAGCAGTCTTAGCTGAGCAGTAAATTCTCTACAGCTCAGGTGAGGATATTTCATGATGCACAGCTAAAATGTTTTAGTCCACCGTTAAAATTATCCTTTTTTTTAAAATGTATTTTGCAAGGTCACTTGACACTTGGTATCATTGAAGCCAGTGATTAGTTACAGTGGTAATTTTGCTTCCTGTCGATTATTGCACACAGCTTTTACTTCATGTCAGTCTGGTGTGAAAAAATACCAGAATTTGCATTAAACAAAATATCCAGTGGTGTCAAACTACCTGCCTGGGGGCCACTTTTGGTCCATAGAAGCTCTCATATCTGGCCCCCGATAATAGATGTCAATAATATATAATATATATATTTCTTTGCTTATTAAAATATTCTAGTCAATCATTTAAAAATGAGAAAAAAGGATTTGTCTTAGCTTTTTCAAAGATATCTGTTTTTTAGTATTCAACATTGAACACCGATGTGGCCTGCCTTACTTAAGACTTTCTAAATACATATTCACAAATTAATCAGTTTTTATGCAAGTCATTAAAATTGTTTGTCATCATATTCTCAGAGAAAATCAAGCTGCTAATTTTACATAACAGTTAAACAGGAAAGGCGTGTTTATAACTGAGCGTCTTCTCTAACCTACTGTAGACCAGACCAGGGTCTGTGTTCCCTCAGGGAGATGAGCAGTTAGGAAAGACCCATTGTACGTTAATCTCATATCTCGCCAGTGTGTCCCCTGGCTACACTGTATGAGTGGGTACTGTGTCATTTGATTTGGCGTCGCTGGTCAGAGAAGATAATGGAGTAAAGAGCGTCCACCACTGATGGGAGAAATAATGGAAACTTTACCAGAGGAGTCATTAGAAAGAGTGGAGAAAAGGTTTACAGTAAAGATTTATGTATCTTACTCTACATAAGTAAATAAATGGGTTATTAAAACCTTACACAGTGACCCCACTAGGGGGTCGGGGCACGGAGTGGTGCAGTGATGGGAATTGTGTCAGGAAGAGCAACTGGTATAAAGACTGAACTGCACAGACCACAGAGAGATCAGCAGGGACCAAAGCAGACCTACAGGGGGCAGAGCGGCTGCTGTGATCCATCTTTATTTCAGCAGGGAACCCAGTGTGTTATTCACATTATTAAAACAAGGCCGTTTCTCAAAAACTGGCTGCTTGCATTATGCAGCCCACCCAGCAGAGCAGCAGAGGGGTACACAAGGTAATGTGTCCTCATAGTTTCCCCACTACTATCATCACTGTCCCTGTAGGTTTTTAAATGAGAGCACATTATATTAATAATTATACTTAGAAAAATCTCAATAAGATAACATGCATGTAGGACTACTTAATACACGTTTAGAGAATTTGACTTAGTTTGCACAATCTCCATATAATTCAATATTAGAGCACAGATAAAACATACCTGAAACAAACTAAGAAATTGTTTTGTTTTTCTGATGTGGCAAAAACATGACTTGAACTCATTTCAACCCGGACATTTCAATACTTCACAGGAAGTCAAGTACTGTCAGATATCAAACGTCGAAGGTGAACTGCTTACATCACAGTGATGTGTGACAGTTGACCTCAGTTCTCCTGAAAGCTAAATTCATTCTAAGGTTCATTTACATCTAGAAGAAGCAGAAGCACAGCAGTGATGCTGGCTCTGGCAAACAAAGTAGAAAAGTAGAAAATAACATCTTCCACCTGAGTGTTGGAAAAAATGATTACCTTAGTCTTAGAATAGCCACAGCATAAAGGATGCTTACACAATAACCGCCGTTTCTGGCAATTATTCAGCCTCCTGTTCCACATTAACCACAGCCACGTCGTTTAAATCTTTCACCTTTCTGAATATAACAAGCTGCACTTTTCTGCAGGGCTTTGTGCTTCTTCCTATCTTTATTCTATTTTTAAACATTAATCTGTGCAGATTACTGTGTGATTGCAGCTGCACAACAATCTGCCAGTTTTGTGTGTGTGTGTGTGTGTGTGTGTGTGTGTGTTTAAGAATATGTTGGATAACGAAGCCTGCAGGTGTGTATCTGGTTTGAGGAACAGTGGGGGAAAATGGAGGAAAAAAAGCTGGGAGCGTCACTTATCAGCAACAGACAGGAAGCAACTCCCCAGGAAGCAGGACTGTTTTTTAGATGCCCACAGGCTTCACGTCTCAGATCTCTGTCTGTTCTGCCTGGGCTGGATGAAAGTCACTCCAGCTGTCTGACTTGTAATGTGTCACTGGATAAACAAAGATTTGTGCACAGTTGCACCTGGTGGATTGTATGAAACTTGCTCAAACAAACCCCTCAGAAGATCGTTCTTCATTCTTTCTCACCAGGTTGGCCAATTTGGGGAAAACTTTTTTACTTCATTTTAAAAGTATTACAACTGTTTAAAGTGACTGATCCCGACAGTTTTATCCAATTTGACATCAGGTTTGTGCCTCACAAATAAATCCCATCCTGACAAGACCCAACTTACAGGATGTAGGATCTGCTGCTGTTGGCCTGCTGCCAGACACCAACGCCCTCCTTCAGAGGTCTAGATAATAGAATATTAATATTTCTACACTCCACCATCTTCTCATTATGTTTAAAGAGAGAGTCTGTGGTATAGATTACTGTCAGTACTTGGTTATTACAAAAACTAACAGGACAAACACAGCTATTTGCTAACCTAATGCTAATCATATGGTATCTCTCTTTATGGCTCTGTCAGAAGGCATCAACAAAGGCATGGAAATTCAAGCGAGAAAAAAAAAAACAACTAAAGACTGAGAAGAGTAAGAAACCTTGTTTGAACTAAAAGGAAGACATAATTCACAAGAGACATCGGACATGCAGGGATCCATCTGGGAGGGCAAGGAACTCACCAAGGGACTTGGAAAGATAGGGGAGAAAACAATCAGAAAGGCAAGATACACGGGGAAAAAAGCAACAGCAGCAGGACAACTTCAGAAGTCAGGAAACAAAGAGATGAATGAGTGATGGAAACAATGAAACACAAACAACCAAGGAGCAGTGCCAACCGTTGGCTGCCGAGGCCACAGTCTTTCCTGAGGAAGTGTCGAAACCATTTAACCATTCTCCATCCCTAAATGTCATTCTTACATCATTTGTCATTGAGTGTCAGCAGGTTGTGTCACCACTGTAAAGAGGTCAGTGGTTCGATGGTAGGATTCCTGATTGTAACATGTACAACTTTGCCGAACTTTGGTGAACTTTGTTGTATGGACCACATCCTACTAGGGTTGTACCCCACACATACACCCCACTATGGCCATCGCAATTAAGTGAAAGAAGTTTTTCTAATTAATGAATCAATAAGATATTATCCTATATATACTCCGAACTGATCTGTCCCTCTGACTGCACACTTCACCACCATCAGCGCCAGTATGCCCCGTTGACATCCCTTATCCAATCACATCACATACAATGTATAAACTGTGTTGGCTGTTCAGGATATTTGTCATTATTGAATATTTAATTTTTGATTGTGTACTTTACACTGTTTCTTGAATAAAACGTCCATGACAGAGAATGAGTGACAGAGGGTAAAAGACACTTGAACAACTGTCAGGGAAGATGAATTTAAAAAAACAATGACAAAGAGTTTAAAGGAGTTTCAATGTTTTAATGCAAAAAATAATGAATCTGTTCTCTGTTTTTACCCGAGTCTACACACAAACAACACATCGTGTGAGAGGGGGGACACCCAGTACAGCTCAGTAGTTCACTAGTCAATCTGCTCTGTGATCGTAGTATATACACTGTATGTGGACATTAAATAACATTGGTCTCACACAGTAGGTCAATCAGAACCGTCTGAGTGGAGAAGGTTCAGGAGTGTTTGTACCATCTTTGAACGCATAAAGTGACGTTGTCCACATCCAAACAGGTTGGACACGACATTTTAAAAAGCAGCTGAAACCACTTAACAGACACACTGTAAACTAATATTAGCTCCTCATCAATTTACAAAATTGTCATTTTCCATTCAACAGGCCCTTGACAGTCAATGACGCACACGCAGTAGAACTCTTCGGGTAAGAAAAGAAAATAACGTCTCTCCACCACAGATAAAAATAGGACCAGAAAGAGATCACACTGCCACCTCATATTAATATTCTTTACCCTTTACCCAGCAGAACAGTGTGCCTGAACAGTGGATTATTATTATTATTATTATTCCTCTTTTGCTCCACTGCTGTTGATTGAACTCCCAGCATGAACCAAACAGTTTTTTCCCCCACAACCTGTTTTCATTTGTATTGTTGTGACCTTTGAAAACCTGTCCACCACCCAGTGTGATTTGTGCTTGAACTTGTGGAATCAATTTAATAAAGTCAAAAACATATAACAAATAACGCAGAACTAAACAGCTTTAGAAGAACGACTGTATTAGAATAACAGAGACTGTAATTGTTTTTTTTATTTTCTTTAAGCTGCTGCAGGACTGGAGATTTTAGAATTTTGATACGGCTACAGTTCAAATGTCAAGTCTAACAGCGATTTGTCTAACGCAGCGAGAAATGAACATTTAAAAGCTGCAACAGTATTGCAAGGCCATTTCTTTTCTAGGATTTCATTTCTGGTAATAACTGTATGCTTTCTTCTTGAATATAATTAGTGAGTCAATCAATAACACAACAAAATCAAACTAACCAAAGCAGAGAACGCTTGAACTGAACCTGCTTTTTGAATAAAACACGACTATGACAAACCAAAGTCAGGGGGAACCCTTCAGTGACGTCTTGACGTACCATGGGTGTGTGGATGATGAAAGATTCAAAGAAATGTCTGTTGAACCAACGATGTTAAGTAAATGCTGAGTGTTCCCTTTTACCATGAAACAGTTAAAACACACACACATTCAGCGTCTGTGCAACAGGCTGCCATCAAGTGTCCTAAACAGGAACTTCTCAGCAGATGTGATGTTTTAATAATGTACATCTGCCTGTGGTCCTCAGATTACTTTCTTCACAGTTTACTCAAACCCATTTCTCTGTTTAAGAAATCATAGATGACTTAAAATGAAAAACAAGCTGTTAACAAACTCTGACGTTGTAAAAATGTCTTTTGGTCCAAGTTTACTCTGTCTGTCCACCTTTCCCTCTTTTTTACCCAGGCTGCAGGGCCAATGACGTGTCCATTCTCATTGTCTGTACACACAAAGAGAATGTGTGTGTGTGGACATCGGCAGTCACATCCATCCATGATATATACACTTTTCCTCAGGGACTTGTTAGAGTTAGAACGTCTTACTGTGGGGAGCAGTTGAATAACAAAGAGTCTCCGTGTGTGTGTGTTAATGAACACACAGTACAGGCCACGTTCACAAATCTGTTAGGCACCGCTCACAAGCACCAGTGTCTAAAAAGAGAGACTATAGGAAGGCAGGAATGTCAGGATGACTTTAGGCGACACCAGACGGCACACAGGAGCTGAGAGAAACTGTGCCCGGTGCTGCTGTGCTGAGCCGTGAGATGACAATATGACAATCACAGACATAAACAACAACATCATTAATGATGCGCTGCTTTGGGCTGTGTGATGACTCGTGCTTCAATTATGATTCAGCTCAGTCACTGCAAGACCCAAACACTTGTTGCTAAAAGCCAAAATTCTAAACACAGGGAAAAGCTGCTGGCTGAGGGACAACAAGACTGATTTTAATCTCATCGCTTCACCGTCGGAAGCTGTGCAGTCATTTCGTGTCTCTGTCCAGAATCCTCCCGAAATGTGTTTCAAGTTGTCTACTTGAGATTGGAAAAAGAATGGGGCAAGACAGGACTATTATATTTTTTTCCCCAGCGTCTTCCTCTGGACGAAGAGTAGAAGGAGATGTGAGTCCAAGCTTAAGAAAGAATCTTAAGAAGTTACACCATGTCCTTCATCTCTGGTCCCAATCGTGCAGGTGAGAAACAGACAGGGACGAGAGCCCAATCGTTTCTCCCAATTTTTGCCAACGTAAAATATATCACATGACTCCGTAGTCAATTAGAGATTTGAGCAGTACTGTGTCCTTGACATCGCTGAACACCCGGCGGATGTTGTTGGTGTCTGTAGCGCACGTGAAGTGTGGGTAAAGTGTTTTCCACTCGTCCTTCTTGTCCCGGTTGATGGCGTTCTGCTCGTACATCTTGCGGATAAAGTTTTTAGCATCTTCTGTATCACGCCTCTTACCTGTGACGGTAGAAGAAGAGACAAAGGAAGAAGAACAATTATATAATCAGACAATTACATAGTCTGTTGATTTGAATAATGTTGTCATTCAAGTTATTATAGGTCATTATTATGAATTATCATTATCAGCAACTTTAAGTTATTGGATGGATGTGGATTAACAGTGCCTGACTGCGTGAGACGACGACTTCAGATTAGGGTTGATTAGAAGTAGAAGATTAGATTATTATTATTTTCAGGTATTTTAGGCAGTTGTTTTCTGCTTCATCTGGAGTTTGCACATGCAAAAATAAAGTTATTTATTTATTAAGGAAAATATAGTTGGTATTAGAACTATCTAACAGCTGTTGAAGGCCACCCGCACTAATCTGATTAGTTTAATGAGTGAAGGACTAAGCACGGCCAGGCAGAAGAGGGTTATAAGTTCATCATAACACCATGAACCGTCCAAACACTAAAGTGTTACCAATAATGAAAACACATGAAATATGAAGAAATAAATGTAATTTTATTTGAATTGCTTAAAGAAGTAGTTTATCCTCGAATGCTTTCACCTTAAAGTATCAACAGAGTCGTCATTCAATTAGGGCTGACAGTTAGCATGTCAGCCCTCAGTGTAGTGGTGCACAGACATCATGCAGCATCCTCACAGGAGCACAGCAGCATTAGCACTAAAGAGCAGCCGTTAAAGTTAGGGGTTGGGGTTAAATGGATCCTGACCCTCTGAGAGTCATTATTATAGGCCGTTAAAGCTAATGGCACAACACAACGCAGCGGGTACGGACTCAGACGCAGACACACAAACCGCACACACACTAATATTCAATTTACTCACACCTGCACCACTGGGGCTTCAGTTGATGCAGGGTTTGCAGGAAGCACCATATCTGTCTGTAGTTGCCATGGGTAACGAAGGGCTGAAGGGTGAGGTTGAAGGGGAGTTATTCGGTCTGTTAAGGCAGCACTCAACAGCCTGTTGTGACATAAAAGCTACGGACAGCAGCCATGGTCGGCACAGCTGACGAAAAAGGAAGAAACCTGTTTATGTGCCTGTGTGTGGGTGTAGCTAAACTTTGGAGGACATTTTTGAAAAATTCTTTCTTGTTAGGAACCTTTGCCCTTGTGGTGGGACATTTTTTAAATTTTATAAACTAAACTAAAAAAATGATTAAATGACAAACAAAACTTACCTGTGAAGTTGGGGAAGTATTTCTGCAGGTCTGAGGTCTGGATTTTATCAGCCAGTATGTCAGTCTTGTTGAGGAAGAGGATAATGGAGGTGTTACGGAACCAGGGCGAATGGATGGTGGTGTAGAACAGAGCCAGGCTCTCGTGCATTCGGTTCTGAGGATCACATGAACAGAAAGTTGGGGTCTGGTTGGAGCCATTTTGTTGTAGGGTCACATGTTAAACAACAAAGCACAAATGAAAGGGGAAAAAATGATGTTTTGTGTAATATGAGCACTGTGTGATACAACAGGGAATACAAATCCCTTTTTCTCTCATCTTTAAGTGGCCAACTCAAGCAGTTTGAATTAAAAAAGAGATACAATAAAAAAAACTCACAATTAAATTTAAAAAACTGTCTAGTTGTTGGCCGGATATGAGAGGGTTGTGGGCCATAATTCGCCCACAGGCCGTGAGTTTGAGACCTCATCGTTAAAGTGTTTCCGAACGGAAACGGGTCGACTCTGAGACGACTCTCACAGATGAGTACAGATGAGTGAGGATGGCACAAAGAAAGAGAAACAGGGTTTTTTTCACAGCCGTGAGGAGGTTCATAATAGTGGCTGAATAGAAACAGCTGAAGCTGGAGATGCAGAGGACGAGACAGTGTGACTTCTTAGTATAATAATAGTTATAATAAATATATATTCAAAAGAATAGAACAGACAGACAGAAGGTTCTTACTATGGTGTCTCTCTCCTCCAGGACCTGGTCGTATTCACTAAGGGAGGCCAGGAAAATGAGGGAAGTTACATTTTCAAAACAGTGTATCCATTTCCGACGCTCTGATTTCTGACCACCAACATCCACAATCCTGTCAGGAGAAGCACAAAGGTAAAAGTCGGTTCCAGACTTCCCAACTGCTTCTACATGATACAGCAGGTTTGCAATGTGTGTGTACTATGACTATCAAATAATTACTTACTTAATTAAGTTGTACACACCTTAGCCTCGTCGGTGTGTTCCTTGAGTTTTACAGCTTGCCTCACACATGAGCACATTTTTGTTTTACTCTGAATAAATTTTACTTATTGTTGTTCACTGTGTTAAATCTCCCCTGTGGTCTGGACATAATACACCTCACTTCCTGACAGAGTTTTGGACAGAAGAGCTTTGAAATGTGACTCTAACGTGTGAGCAGAAAAAAACACCCTAGTAATGGTCAATATTGCTGGGGTTTTTGTTTGTTTTTGCTTTTTCTGGTGCAGAGAGATGGTGGTTTTAAATGTGTGGCTGTGACAGGATGTCCTCTACAGTTTGGCCACCTTAGCGTGATGGTCTTGATAGTGAAGGAGTAGTCGTGAATTCCTGTGGTGGGGAATCGAACTCTCAGCACGTCCTGTTCTGTAGGGATGTAGTCCTGGCTGGATATTCTCTCCAAACTGTTCATGTAGCTAAGAGGAAAAAGAACATTGGAAAATGAGGTTATAAACATTTGTATTAGAATGGTCACGAGGGTTAGAACATGATTTATTTCTTTCCGTCTGTCTTTAGGCTGAGACTTTATGGCTGCTGTTCTGTCATTAACTCATGTGACTGCTAGTCTCTTATCAAGTACACACAATGATGACTGAGCTGCTGGGTAAACAAAGAGCGGCCATGAGAGAAAACAGAGCGAGGCTCCAGGCTTTAGTCACTCACACATTTCAGCGTGAACTCCTTCCACCTTCGTAGTTTCTGTATTTTTTCAGTCTGACTCTGATACCGTAGTTAAGCTCAAATGTTTTCTAATTTGGATCATAGTTAATAGGCTAAGGTAAAAAAAATATTGTGAGGCTTGAAGAAAAATTGAAAAAGAATACTAGCTCCCTCTAGTGGCTAAAGTACACATTACAAGTTTGACCAGGAAATATCCCACATTTGAAACTTTCAAATGGCAGCTCGAACAGACGTAGGCATCTGCTGTTGTAAACGCCATCGTTTAGACATGCATTTAATAATAAGTTACTGACAAATCTGGGTAATTTTAAGGGCTGTTGTCAATATCTTCTCCTAAAGTAAGTTGGAATAACCTATGACAAACATCTTGCTAAGCTTGATCCTAAAAATGTCCTCTGGTACACCTGGGGGACCTTGGAAAGTCCAAGAGAAACAGATCTCACATCACTGTCCCTCCATAAGCCTTTGTAGTGGACACAATGCAGTGAAACAGGTAACAATCCCCAGACAAAAAGGAAATTCCACTTCCAAACTAAAAGTGTTCTGTCCCACTGCAGCACCACTGTGACAGTGGAGCGCAATGGAACATTTAAGCTCTCAGTTAGAAGTTGTGGCTAAATACCTTTATATTGTCTTTACTGGGTAAACATATATTACAGTGGTTCTCCAACTTTTTCAAATCTGTACCACCTGAGAAAACACTGAGTACCACCATGATGACCAACATTAGAATATAGCAGCGTAGGCCTTCACTGTTAGCTTCCACCACACAGGAGAGATGTTTAGAAAGATGTCTATGTTTAAATGTTGTATTAATTGTGCATGGAATGTTTCAGATTTATTCAATTAAAAATGTAAATGTGAAAATATGAATTTTCCCACGTTCCACAGTTTGAGAACCACCGGTCTACTAAAATATGTAGAAGATTTGGGTCTAATGTAAAATAGTTTATCCATTTATCACATGCACTGAGATGACGCCTATCACAGATCATCACTGCACTGTAATATCACCTTCAGAAACTTTTCACCAACAATGTTTTATCATCTGATCCTCTCAAATTCCCAGCCCTCATTTAAAGGAGTGGCTGAGCATGGAGAGCTGTATCAACACAGATACTCACTACTCTGTGGAGTCCAACAGTTGGTACTCGCAGCGGCGGCCGTAACAGACACGGATGCCGGGGTCTGCCCACAGGCGGCGGATTGCCTCTACGTAACCTCGCTCCAGCTGGGCGATCTGCACCGTGTTTACTTCCTGCAGCCATTTGGCAAACATCTGAAAGACAGCAAAAAACCCAGGTGTCATGATCATGGGGAACTGTGGAAGAAAGCTGTTGGTTAAAAAAAATGTGAGAGGGTTGTAGTGCTGCTGTTTCCACAGTAACAGGGACGCACCAATACTTCATTCAAATGCTCGTACTAGTGCTAAAACATGTGTCGATCCAGTGACCTGGTACTCTATGACAGGGTCGCAACCCAGTCTTTGGGACACAATGCTCTATGATGACTTTTCGTCACAGGGTGTTGTCTTACTGTCCTCATGGGTAGTTTATTTAACAATGGCTTAACATTTAACAAATTATTAATTATAATAATATAATTAATTAATATAATTATAATATAATTGATTTAAGTTAATTAACTTTAACATTTAACAAAGATTGTTTGTGTTCATTTGCATGTTGAAACACGGACATGGTGTCCACTGTCCAAGTGACTTAACAGAGGAGACAATGTTTTCAATTAAAATGTGCTCTTGGTGTAAAAGCTGTGCTCACTTTCTGTTCAGCTGTTTGTGTTACCAGCAGTAGGCAGAGAGTGTGATTTAAAAAAAAAAAATTAATCCTTCATTTTATTTTTAACTAATGTGACAACAGTGTCAGTTTATTTCCACTGGGATTAAAATAATCTGTTTATTGGAAGCAAATTCAACTGACACCTTTTTCTGCATGGTGTCCTAATTGTGGTTTTTGGCTGACTCTGCACCCACACACTGCACATCACACACAGACACCTATCACGTTCCTTCCTTAAACATTAGTGATGTGCTACTGTTAACACAACTTTCCCCTATTTACTACAACATGTTTAACCGTGTTTATATTGCAACCATTTCAGACTCATTCAGCTAACGCTAGCACATTTGTGCCACCATCTGAATTGTGGAGTAAAATTGTTCACAGGAAACGCGGCGCGTCTCTCTGTGTTGTCTGAGATGTAGCTCTGAGTACGACATTCCTGAGTTTACCTCATTCTCTGGGTTGGCGTAGGGGATCTTCAGCATGGTCATGGCTCCAGTCATGGCCTTGATAGCTGTGAAGATGTTCTGGAAGATTAATTTAGCAAAGGTTTTTCTCTCTTCTTCTGAAAAGCCCCGCCCATGGATGATCCTCATTTGTCGGAGGAAGGTTGTTTTTCCACTTTCTCCCGTTCCTGAGAGAAAACAGAAATATTACTCAACAATATTTACAATCAGAGTATTGTGCCATTCTAACATTAACAATACAGTTTAACAGTGAAACCTGTTCTCATTTTATAGGTACATAGTGTTCAGGTCTGACCAGTGTTGTGTTCTGCATTTTTGTCATTCTAAAAATATGTGATAAATGCTAATTAATCAGCAGCTTTTGTCAGCTGCTGATGCATCAATGATTTACTGCCGCCAGCCAACAAAGCAGGAACATGACCTTTTCAACCTGGCACCCCTTCTCTTAGCGGTAGCATCTTCACAAACCCTACTTCATCACTTGGAGTTGTTAATATAAACGTGTTATACCCCACATTCCCTTAAGTCAGATCTTTAATTTAAGTTAGGTCGACAAACAATGTCTGCAGTCTAGTCTAGGTATTCTAACATCAGGGACAAAGGCCTACTGTAATATATATTTTAAATGACACAATCAGCTAATAAAATTCAGAGACAGGCCATAATAATCATCTACTCACTTCTCTTCTAATCCATAGCAAAGCACCTCAGCAAGTCACTTTTTGTGTGTGTTATTTTCAACATTGTGTGTGTGTTATTTGTTTAAAGAAAACATGGAAATATTGCAAACCGTAAGCATTTTCATGCTTGGACCCTAGGGCTACTCTCACATGAATGTATTTTTATCTGTTTCGAACTAAGTTTGGACATTGATTCTTCATTTTTTGTTTTCAATTATAAACATTAAGAACATCAAATTAAACTTGTCCAAAGTGGTGGTTATAGAAATGACCCCGAGGAAGTGATGAGGAAGGTGAGTACTCTCAGTCCCTGTGGTTTTTCAGGTATAACCGATCTTGATCTGGACCATTCTTTAAATACTTAGTTGTAGTCACACACGTGTTGCGTCATTTTCTCACTTGGCTGCAGGCTATGAAACAAGCCAGGCAGTATTCATTTGTATACAGGGTGTTCCGCAAGTCCCTCCGATTTCTTTAATTTCTCTAATTAATGCAATTGTGAGTGTGTGTGTGTGTGTGTGTGTGTGAGAGAGAGCAAGAGGAAAGTTTCTGAGTGTGTGATTTTTAAGCTATATTTACATTTATAGGAACATTTAGTAGTTTTTGCCAAAATCTGGAGATGTAGCATTTTGTTTGAATTTCCTTTATGTCACTAATCATATGCTAGCCCATAGATTACAACATATTCTTCAGTTGTCTTGGTAAAACTGATGGATTTTTGTTTGTTTGTTTGTTTTGTTGTGAAATTAGGGAGAATGCATTCCAACATGGTCGCCTCCATACAGGAGCCCAACTACAGGAGCCTTTTCATTTCATTTCTAAAAAATAAAAATGTAAATGAAGTATTTGAAACACATGGAGGCCAAAAACCCTGGACACAGCAGAAGAGCTGGGACATCATGTGTTTCCTCGTTTACACTCCTGTTGTTTTGCTGTGTCACGTACATCCACTGGATATTCCTAATCAGTGTAATTATTTCAATTGGTGTCCCTGAGCGTGTTTGTGTATCCGTGGATGTGTCACTGACCCAGCAGCAGGATTTTGATCTCCTTTTTCTCCTTCTTCTTCTGCTGCTTGAGCTCCTGTTTGATGGCCCGGTCCACAGCGACGGTCCTCTTCTCCTCCTCCGACAGACAGCACACGCAGGTGCGGCGGCACCACTGCCAACAGCCAGCCATGGCCAAAAACCACTGGAAAAGTGAGGGTGAATGTTGGTAAATCATGAACTGCAGTCAGCCATTAAAAGCAGGCCATAAAGACCGTGATAAGTTCCCGTGCGTGAAAGCCGTTGCTTTCGGCTCGGGATTTTTTTTTTCCAAACACCTGCTCCCAGGAAGTTTTCTCTAAAGCCACAAACAGAATTACTCCCTGCGTCAACACATCACTGTTTAACTTTAGATAAGTTCTCACGGCGCGTTGTTTTACACTAGTCAGATGGATTATTGTTTTCAGAAGAAGCTTAGGAGTAAAAACAGGAAGAACACAAACCTGCAGTCTCTCAGTCTGCCTCCCTTTTAACGCGCAGGTACAGACTCTGATTTCTTATCCATTCCTCACTGTCTCTCCTGTCCACAGCCACCGGAGCGCAAACGATGCCACTGTGAACAACGCTTACTCAACACATTGGCTAAAATTAACTTTTTATTTTCTTTAAAAAAAAAACAGGTGAAAAGAAGCCACTCAGGAAAGTTCACCGCGCCTACAGAGGAATGCGCAGCCTCCGTGGTTCACTGCGAACGCACTGTAACCGGAATGCGCTCTGGGTGACGCGTCGGCAAGAGAGCGGCAGAGTTCCGCAGCAGCGACGGAAGTCAGGCGCGGTTATTGTAAAAGTAAGAGCACACTGTAGGTGTCTTGTGTTTGTCTTGAAGGCCCCGAATGAGATTCATTCATCATGGATGTCAAAGAGGAAGAAGAAGACGAAATCATTGTTTTAAGGACATTAATTAAGAATGAAATCATTACTTTTCCATTATTCAAATCATGATTTGGGGGTCTTTTAAGGAAAGGAAAGGAAAGTGAACTCCTTGTCATTGTGACATTGTGAAACACACCACTGCACAAAACTAAATGTGACCTCTGCTTTTAACCCATCACCAAAGTGAACAGTGGGCAGCTTTGAGTGCCCGGGGAGCAGTGTGTGGGGACAGTGCCCTGCTCAGAGCACCTCGGTGGACTCCAACCTGAAGCCTTCCGGACCCAGGTCCGCCTCCTTAACCACTAAGCCACCACTGCCCCAGTGGTAAATTGCATCATGTAGGCAAAAACAACATAATATTGATCTTAAATGGATCTAAATAGTTTTGTTTATCAAGTCGATTGGATTAAAAGTACAATGTGGCTCCTAAAAAAGTCTTCCCAAGCACCAAAAAAATAAATTAATTAAAAAATTAAAAAGCATCATACTTGCATAATGTGACATCACAGTAGACAACAATGCTTGTAAATGTCACATTACATGAAACTCGGCACATAATAGGACCACAGCCACACCCTCGGGTGTCTGTTAGATGGCACTGAGTGTAGAACTTGTATACAACTGGAATCAACGAGCAAAACCGTCCATTGCATAGTTTGCAAACAAATGAATGCATAACAGCACTCAGCTAAAGCTGATAATTATTTTATTACGTCAAATTTATGACCTTACTAAACCACAGCATCACATCTACAGGTGACATTTAGATACTCAAGTGCATAATCAACTAATTGTTTTGTCCTGCATTCTGATGTGCTCAGGTTTTTTAACAGCTGTACAGACACTTATTTTGATGTGACTCCTGGTCAGGGGTTTAGCAGGCGGTTTTCTTAGCTCTGACTGATGTTTGCAAACTGCAAAGAAGTGACTCAGGGTTACATTTCAGTGTAGTTATACCTGTGTAACTGGTCATCTGACAAATAAACGCATGCATCTTAATTCTTTAATCTTGAAGAACTAACAACAAAAAATGCCAATGTGTCTGTTTTTATCATGCAAACCTCCTAGTTCCTACTTGAATTTGTGAAACAGAAACAAATCCAAACACCATACAGCCCGGGCCTTAAAAATTGAACACTACAACTACTACAATAACATCTATCATTGTTATCAGCCTCAAGGTTTGGGATAATGTGGGATAAGTTTTAGGATACTTTATCTTTTTATTTTGAAAGAATACTACCGGAAGTTTGACGTCTTTACTTATCTTTTCTTTAAACTGGTCTAAGTTGGCTGCGGATAAAGTTACGTCTGCAGCAGAGACGCTTGTCTTTTTGTTTCAGCTGGAGTTTAGGTTGAAACACGAACACTGGTGTAAAACCGTGACTTTTCTGACTATTGATATATATATCTATATATAATATAGTTTTCCTTTGAAACCCATGTAAGCTTTATTTTGGTTCTACGTTAAATAAAATTAGTGTTGATTTGAGTGGAAGACATCGTTTTTAACAGGTTGAAACAATAACACCAGAAAGCATGTGACCAGCAGTGGGAGAAAGTTGTATCCTGATGGCTGTGCTGTGGTCGGACTAATATCAGCTGGTGTTCACTGAGCAGCAGGTGATCTGGAGCAGCTATTTTGTCTCCCCTCCTCCTCCGCTGCTGCTGCTGTTTAGATGTCAATCTTTTGTCTCAGCCAGCACAACCGGTCTGTCCAGGCTTTCCTGGTCTCCGATACTCACATCTCCTGCTCTGCATTACCAAGGGACCAGGGTGAAGCAGCAGCACGTTCGTGCAGGGAGGCCTCAGTATACCGCAATTAATGTGTGAAGGTTGAAACACAACCCTTTATTGACTGCAGAGGTGGTCTTTGGCAGTACCACCTCACAACCTTTAGGTGGATGGATTGATTCCATAATCACACTCATCGTCAGTGTGAAGATCCAGATATTACTCTTTTATATTTATTTAGTAACATTTTACCATAGCATCCCATATTTTATTTTAACACTTTGTAAATCCGTGCCATGTCCTTGATTAAATCATCTGGTCGGACACTTTTAACACATGGGCCATATGTGTGACACCACAGATTTACAGCAATTTGTTTTGTATTCAAAGATTTACTTGTTGTCATCATTCTGCCTGTGGAATTGTTTTACATTCTAATGGTAAAGGTTTGAGGTACTTAAACGTGGGCTAGACATCTAAATGGAATAATGGTCTGGACTGTAGACAAACAAGTTCAGGACCTGCACATTCATGGCTGTAGCCATTAGGTAACAGGCATATCTTTTACATCAGCAAGTCAAGGTTTGCTAGGTCGGAAACAACAGTCTCATTGAAATTCTTTTTAAATCCACCTTACAGTGAAGTCTACCCTTCTTAAGTCAAACTGTAGAACTGTTTTAGTTTACCAAGTGGTAAGAATAGAGCACAAAAATAAACATGACTTAAAATAGCTTAATAGCTCTTATTATTATTTAGTATCCAGTATATATTTAAACATGCATTTCTTTGAGAAATCCATTCTCTCCAAAAAATAAAAATAAAAACTGACTAGATATACACTTACAGTTACACTTAATTACTTCACAACAAACTGTGTTTATGCAGTGGTGTTAACTTGTTGGCCATTAGAATTATACTGAACAACCTGTGCACTGGTCCTGTGTCCTACTGTATCATTTCCTGACAGGATGTTACATCAGACCAGAAGGATAAAGGAGTGTAAAGAGACTTTGTCCCTTGTTGTTGGTTGGTGTGAGAAACAGGATGATCAATAATTAATCTGACGACAGTCATAAGAACCTTGGATACATGATGAGAGGTTTAAATGGTGCTATTTGAAATTCACACGCTCTATTTTAAATCAGCAGAGGAGATGTGTTTATATATATATAAATGTACAATTTGTCTGCTTACAAAATTAAAAAGAGAATTATTTTAAAATAAATCAAAATATATACAAGACTTCAAATACATATTATGAAATTCCAGCTCCATCAATTACAGCAGGTTTATGTTTGTTGACCAATATGCAGGATAGTTTGCATAAAGTTGTTTGTCTCTCTTATTGTGGGTGGAGTCTTGTGGCGTGAGTTCCAATCCGGTGAGACATGGGCCGACCAGTCAAGCTGTGAGTAATGTCTAAAGACTTTGCTGATCATACCAACCATACCACTAAGATGCAACATGTACAACTTTTGTTCTTTCTGGTGATAGTGTTTGTCGTGTCTTTAGTATATCAGTTTCAGGAAGTCAAACTTAAAACTGTCGCTGTTTGTTCATTTAGGATCACTCAAGATTTTTACTGGAATTTAATTATTCTGGCCACGCCCACATATGCTATTGGTGTGTGTTTGTGTGTGCGTGTGCGTGTGCGTGTGAGAAGAGAGTGGTGGGGGAGCAGGACATCCAAGTTTATCTCGCCCCGGGCCCAGGCAAGACCGGCCCTGCTTGCAGTTATACCACATGTCCACAGGATGTCACTCGGCTCAACAACGTCTTTCACTCCAGCCTTCACAGTATATACAGTATAATAGAATAAAATAGAATACAATAGAATGCCTTTATTGTCATTATAGTTTCAGTACAACAAAATTGTAGCCATTCCTAATGCAGTGCAAGAAGCATAAATTATATACAGAAAATAAATATAAAAAGAGTCTAGGTAAAAAATATACATAGAGGTAGGTGTGTTGACATATATTGCACATGTATGTTGTCCAGCGGAATGGACTATTGCACGTGATTGAAATTGCACATATGACAGGGTAACAGTGATACATTAGTAGCCGGAGAGAGTCTGGTCTCTATAAAAGTGACCGATGACCCAGTGATTATAATCACTGGATTATATTAAGATTACTGTAAAGTATTTAAATACACTGTACCACTGTACGTAGCTTTAAATTCAAGTATCTAAAGGTACAGTGTGTAGACATTTGCAACAGCTAATGAAAAGTTTGATTAAATTAGACATTCATTATGTCATATCACATCTCTCACTGTAGTCTACCATGTATACTGTATATGCTGTAAAAACTGGACAACACCATTCATTTGTCTTGCTACTGTGTGTGTGCTAGTTCCAGAAATTACTTTTTTATGCATGTCAGTGTAACATGACAATACTTATCCCTCAACTCTTTAAAATGTCACACTTGACACACTTTTCTAACAGCTTAAAGGTCTAGGTCTTATTTAAGGTCACCTCTTAGATAATTATTGACATTAGCATTTGTACTTTTTTTTTCAGGAACAACAGTTGCATTTAGCTTTTGAGACTAGTAATTGTTCACTGCATGAAAAACAGCAAGGCCAAAATGCTGTTCTGCATGATAAAAAAAGGTTTTATGCTTATGTGCAGCTGATATTTTACTGTGGATTGATATCAATACACAGTAAAATAAAAGATTTGATTACAGCCTTCTATCTGTTTTCTTTTGTGAAAGAGTGGAAAAAATAAAACTAATACAGATTAAATTGCTTTAAAGTAAACTTGCTGGTTTTTATACAGTGACCTGATGAAATCTTGTAATCTTTATTTGAACAATGTATGTACAAAAAGTAAGGCATCCTAAAATAGCTACTGTAAGTGCATAGATATCAATAAACTCAAATAATAAACAAAGCAAATTAGTAATATCAAATAATTAAAAAAAAACTTTGAGGGGACAAGTTATTGAGTTTTAGAAAATGGGCAAATTGTTTGCATTTTGTGACTCGGGGATCTTTCGTCCATTCACTTGTAACAATTACATTTCATCTGAAACTATAAAACTATGTTGTTATACATTAATTAGTCCACTTTAGTAATATTTGTGTAAATGATAGTAGAAGGTGAACATATTGTTCTTTTAGATGCTAAGATTAGGATATTACGATTAGGATGTAAACCGTATGCATTGTATTGTATTTATTGTTTATTTGATTGTTTGAATCCAACATATTTCATGTTTAAATGTATAATTAACGTTTTAAATTTGATGTTTTGCCCATGTAAACCTAGTGCAGCTTTGACAGGAGATGGGCGTTGCCTTTCCAGTCAAATGTAAACCGCTCCTCGGCGACACGCCTCCAAAAGTCAAGAGCGCATCGCAAGCAAACTTGCCATGGTCAATAAACCCGGAAAGTCCCGCCTCCATAGCAAAGCTGTATTTTCATTTGTTGTACCGCCTTTCAATCATATTCACCCCGAGCGACGTCAGCAACAGCGCCAGTGAGTGCTCACTCGGACTGAGCAGTGAGTGGGTGATGAAGGGTGATTACTGCAAGCACCCGCAGGAAAAAATCTTCTACACTCGTAAAATAGACGGACTAAAATGTGACTGTCATTAAGGCGTTTTCGGATGAACGAGTCTGAGTTTGTACGCTGTTTTCAGGGAATTTGTTTTAATTCGCTGGCGGCCCTCTGTCAAACCGAGCGCTCCTGAATTTTAGGCAGCCTGTTGCAAATTCAGGGATGGCTCACTGAGCTAACAAGCTAACGGTTAGCCTGTCCATTTCGTTTTGCTACTGACTGAAGTGTGAGACTCGATAAGCTGCTCCGGGTGTGGTTATTTAGCTACACTTTTGTTTGCCTTCTTATAGGACAGACAGTTTGTAGACACCGTGTAAGTCGTTGTGTTTGTTCGGTGAATGGACCTTTTAATGGTCGCTCATTGTCACTGTACGGGCGTACGGCGTTGCTTTCGGTGCGGCTAAGCTTATGCTCGGTCGGGCAAGCAGCGGGGCTATACAGATGTGGCAGCTGCAGTCAGCTGTGTCCCACTGTCTCTGGGACGGAATTCTTCTGCTTTTAAAATAAATATCCCTCTTAACAGGTACATTGAATATGGTCAGTTTGTCACGTTAGCCTTTTGGCAACATTAACTAGACGTTGAGAAGCACAGTGCAATGATTTCGAGTGATCTGGTGTTTCCGTAGCCTGAGGATTTGGATTAGACTTTGACCAAAGCTGTCAAATATTTGGTGCTTATTCACTTTTCTGAAAGGGCCATAATTCACCCTGAACATCTTTAAGGGACTCTTTAAGTGCACTCTTGCCCATAAAGTAGATTTTTTTCCATTAAAGTTTGTGTGCGGTGTAGCCCAGCGCCCTTTTTCAGACGGCTTTCTGCTCATGTGGTGATGACTTTAGACTCCATGATGGCTTGTTGCCTGAGTGAGGAGGCAAAGGAGTCCAAACGAATCAACGCAGAGATCGAAAAACAAATCCGACGAGACAAGAAAGATTCAAGACGGGAGCTGAAGCTGCTTTTGTTGGGTAAGTCTGCACTATCCATCGTCTAAGATTCTGGCATGACTGGACAGGTGCATTTGATTTTAACTGCGATACACATGTACACAAATATTTGTGAAACATTTATTCTTAGTTTCTATTTCTGATCAACAGTCAAACCAGAAATCTAGCCTACATTTGGATTTCAAAAATATTCTTCTACAAAAATGGTGTCAGCGAGGTAATAGAAATAGAAGCGAAATTATTAGAAGAGTACCAACAGATTCACATATTTTCTTTACTAGGCCTATGCTACCTATTTTTTCCATGCTTATATTCTTATTTAAATTTTGTGTATTTTTTTATTTTAAGGTATTTGTGGAATGTATTCCTTAACATAGAACTAATGTAATGTTTTATTGAAAAAAAAACTAATTTTTCATAGCTTTATATACATGTCGTGCTGCATTCATAACTGCCAGAGCATTTATAGTCATTACTTGCTCCTTCATTGCACAGTATGCAGTAAAGATGGCATTGTGTGACGAGACGAGCAAATGATTAGAATTGATAACGTTGCAGAAGCTTCACATGCAAAATGCCAAACCCACAAGTGCAGTAAACTATAACCCTGGTTGCCACAACATTTGTCTGTGATTTGCAAAGTGAGACATGGTTTAAATGGTATTTCACAACAAACTACCACTAGCAAACGCAACATAATTGTTTACAAAGAAACTTGTATAAAGGATATACTTCTTTTCTATCAATTTTGCCTGTGTTAGCCATAGGTCTTTACCTGTATTATTATAATCAGTCAATCAGTCATAGAGCAATCATGTGGATTTTAGAGCTGCTTGGATAGTTAAACTATATATACAGTACATTAATAAAGATATTTAATATTGGTGTACTTCATGAAAACACTATGGGTTTGTCAGTCTTTTCTTAATGGTTAATAAATGATCTGATCAGTTGAGTGCAAAATATTTTTTTTCTTGAAAATCTGGTCATTAAGCCACAACATTTAAAAACTATACATCCATAGTTTCATGGTAAAACAGGAAGCACTTTCCTTACTTCCCTCCTCTCCCTTTCCCACTCCCTTATTTCTCCTTTCCCCCGCTCTAGGGAAATGAAACAAAAGGTTAATGCTACATCCACACTGTTATGTTTGTTTGTTAAAAAAAAGAAAAGAAAAACAAATAATAAAAAATACTGACAGATTTAGTACAAATCGATATGCCATTCTGGTACTACAAGACCAGTTCCATGAAGAAACCAACAACTTCGTCTGCCAATGTAGAAATTAACATGTATAACCAAAAATGACTTTGCTTTGCTTACAGTTGTTGTATAAATCTCTGTGGGGTTCAGTGCTGCAAAAGCCCAGGAGTGGGAGGTGGCCATGACTTAACAAAGCAGGAAGTAGGAAATCCATTAGCTCATGTGATGTGCAGTATTTAGTATATTTGTATAAATTAGGTATTAGATGTTAGATCATTACTTATACAGTTCCAAGGTGCTCATTTGGGTTTCCAGTTTTTAATTGGGAACATATTCATGAAGCTTGTCACATGGTCGCAATTGTAATGAGGTGTTTTTGGCACTGAATACTTAATTGTACTGTTTTCCCAGGAAATGCTTTCCCTGAAGTAGCCAGTTCCTTTGTTTTCTGTAAAGATTCATCTACAGATACATTTTTATGTTTGACAGGAGAATTAAGAGTTATTAGTCATTTTCAAACTGTAATTCATTAGCATCAGCTTCTCAATGAAGTTTAACCCAGAAGTAAGGCCGACTAAATGTGCCTTAAATTTGACCACGCTGCCCTATTTTTTTACATTCAGTATTAACAGCTCAAACTCTTGTGGCCTTGAATGTTCATGGTTTGGCAACATACAAGAGGCATCTGTTGGTTTGTTCGGCAGACGTATTGCCAAGCACTAATTATAAATTTAAAAGTTCTGTTGGCAAAGAAATTCAGGTTTATTCTTCCAGCTTTTCTACGCACACATGAGATGTCGTTAATCTGACTCATTGAGAGATTTAGAAAAACATCTAATTTTCTCTTCATCGTAGGATTTATTATAAAAAATACCGCGGTACAAAACCAGAAAGGAAGTTTTGGCCTTTTTTATTAAGAGTCAGCACTCACATAATTTAGACTTATGTGAAATGATCTAATATACCATGTAGACACAACATTTACTGAGGACTCAGTGATGCTCCATATTTTGTGTAGCCAACATTGTTTAGCAGTTCATTTCCATTTCTTTAGCAGCAAAAAGTTTGTGAACTAATAGTGGTCCTCAGGGGACGTCAGTGGTCCATAAATGTATTGGCCAAACAGATATTTATCAAATCTCATATGTTATATGATGTAATTGTAACATTTTAATTGTAACCTTATAACATTTTTTATAAGGTTTATTCAAATATTATTTGAATTTGTTCGAGTTTTTTGTCTGCACTAATGAAGCTGATCATTTTAGGCCTGTTTTGCATAACCACTCTTTTTTTTTTATATAGCTGTGCAAGCTTTTACTTTTTATGATACATTCACAATCTAATTTAATGGGAATAAGCAGGGTAAAGTGATGTTTTTTTTGGCCTTTTGTCTGAAAAAGTCTGGATAACTCTAATCTGAACAATCTGAACACAGGCAGTAAACCAACTATTGTTTTGTCTCTAAGATTGTTTAGTTTGAAAAATGCAACAAGAACCACTTTTGACATGTTTAACCAGAAAGAGAACAGAAGTCATTTTACTGGATTTTTTAATATTGGAATTGCGCTGTTCACTGCAACTAAAAATAAACATTATATTAACTGCATCTTGGTATTAAACCTACTCAAATGTAGTATTGTGCTGTTCATCAGCATAAGGCTGCTTTTGAAGTATTATCCACTTGCACTGTAGACCTTTGAGCTTAGGAAGTGTACTTCTGCTCTTTGGCATATGAAAACCACAAATAATTAAGTTTGTACAGCTGGAGCAATGGTAACTAACTGACTTTTTAATGTAAGTTAACAATTTTGGACTCTTCATGGACTTCATAGTTTTTGGGTAGGAAATAAACCTCTGTGATCTTTCCTCATTCAATAAATTTCAAGTTTTCCATTAAGGCAATAATGTACAACATTAATTCAGAAATTCAAAAGTGCATCTTATTTACTATACATATATTATGAAGTGTGAACTGTAACTTTGAATGTCAAACATCATGCCTGAATTAAATCATATGAACTAAAATAATATAAAAGTATATATATACAGGAAAGTTTGTTTCTCATCTGCCTCTGAACAAGCAATTGTGACAGTAAGACATGATTGTATGTGTGTCCACTGTTGACTGAGTCAATCATAAATAGAAGAATTTGTTGAACTAGTACTAATGCAGTTCTCTACTAGTGTTATATATGTTTTCTGCATCTTAGAAAGGGTATCCATAAAGGTCTCCTGAAGGTGGTCCTTTTCATTTATTGTAGCACCGTGACTCCCATCAGCAAACATTTAATTTGTGCACAAACAACAGAAATCTAAACTTTCATACCTCATAATGCTGTGTAGCCATCAGATGCTGTTAAATATTATTTCACTGGTGAAATAATTGTGAGTGGTTATGCATTTGCATTTTTACATTTTTATATTTGCAGCTCATTTTACAGTAGCTGCTATAATAAAAAGATGAACCTTGTATTCTAATGTTAGAGTTAAATTACTTGCATTTTTCGCTGCTATACATTTTTATGCGTTGTTATACTGTATACACAGTAAATATATGGTAGCAAAAGATAACTATATGTAATGCAATATTAATCAAATAGGTATCTTCGCTGGATGTGTGATTTATAAACACACAGCTATGTAATTACTTAATACTAATGGATACATTTTTCTTTGCACAGAACACTGTAAAAATATTCTCCTTTTTATAATCTAGAGTGAGTTTGGAGGAAATTAAGCGCAGTTTTTTTTTTAGTTTTTTTTTTTTAAAGTAAGTTCATGTATAAACTAGGTGCTATCTCACCTCAGCGTCATCATATGACTAGACCACAAGTCTACTCTACAGTTCATTAGGTTAGGATTTTGCAATCGGATGTAGTAGTCTAACAAAAACTGTCAAAGTATTAACCCTTTTTAAAACTGTCAGTGTGTGTTATTGCAGTGAACATAACATTGGGAAATGTGCTTTTGACAGCTGATGAAGGCTCTGTGTGTGTCAAGCTAACATAAAACCCTTGATCTGTTTCAATAACAACCATCATCTCTACCTTTATCTTGTATTTGTATCAACTAATATGAGAAGGGTTCTTGTGTGTTTGCCAATTACGGCACAACGATTCTAGTTGTGGTCAGATAGGAGCAGTCGAGTACCGCTAACCAGATGAATCACTGTTTTGGGAATTTTATTTTTGCATGGGAATCTCTTTTTTTGTAGGTGTGTGAAGTAATACACCACCAACAAACCCAACATACATACCATGCAGGCTGGTGATTCTGTGTAATTGATATTTAAAGGAGACATGTTCAAAATAATAGCAGTGTGTACTTTATTAAACAAGGGCCTTTGTTTTAAGGATAAGGACAGCAAGGGTCATCGTCCTTCTTGTGTATTTATCAGACGATCTTTTTTTAGTACCTACCAAAAACTTTTGCTCGATTTATGTGGAGATGATTCTGTAGCCAGGAGAGCACTGCTCGGTGATATCAAGATATTGCTGTCTATTACTTACACAGTATTGTATTTATGTGTACACAGCTACACAGAGACACTGAGCACACATTTCATCTGTCATGTGCATATCATTTAAAGAGGTTTGCAGTATCTGGGTTAATGAGTGTTTGCTTTTTGGCAACACCCAAAGTTGCCTCCTGTGTGGAGCCTATCTACACTCGTGCTTGTGCAAGTCTACCATTAGGCCAAGAAGACAAGTTATTTTTTAGTCATATTTAATTGAGTCATGCGAGCTGCTGCCACGGTTACACTTGATCTAGCCTGTTTCCAAAGAAAAAACAAGATTAATGCCGATAATTAACTG